AGATTTTCCCCACAACAGCCCCAATTACACCCAGGTGAATAGATTCAGAATCAAAGCAGTCTTTGTCCTATTGCAGACAACGAGAGCGAGCATTTGAGATGTCCAACATATTAAAGCAATTTTGAATTTTATAATTAGAAAGTTTTTTGGTTGTCCTTGGGGTACCCCTTTCATTGTTCTTGCAGCTCCCCTTTTACTGTGCATCTTACTCACAAGGCTGCCCACGTTGATTGTGGTTGAGCGGCAGCTGCCCACATCCCCGTGTGCCTTCACGGCCCACTTGCACGTTATTTCAGGAGGCAAAGGGAAGGTATGCTCCTGTGCATCTCTTCAGAGCTTCATACTCCATTTCACTTCAGATCTTCAGCTTATGCAGTCTTTGTGTCCGCCCTTCATCTTCATACTTCTGTTCATTTCATTTCTGATCTTCATTTCGTCTATTCTATTAATGATGCTCATTCGTATGTATTTGTTAGTAGTACAAAGGGAGTGGAGGGGAGGGTGGAGGGTAAGGGATAGAAGGCGGAGTTCTCGAGGAGTATGGGGCAGGGGAGGTAGGGGCAACAGGAAGGAAAGAAATATGTGGAGGGCAGGATAGAGTATGACATGCAAAGAGCAGGGGAAAGGTGTATGACGGGTTTCACAGATTTCTAAATATTCACCGCTGAAGCAGACTTCTTGAAAAAAAAAAAAAAAAAAAAAAAAAGAAACCTATGGCAAGTGGCCACCCCTACAGACCGGACAGGACCGGTTCGGGTGTGGGCTATCATGGAAGCACCGCATCCAATTTTCGCAGTCAAGTTGCTGCATCGAATGGCACGGCGCAGACAGATGTCACAGGCTACGTGGCTCGTACATGCTAGGAACACAGAGGCACGTCGACCGCAATTATAGAGGCATTGCCGTTCCAGCCCGTCTACAAATTGGACATGACATGTCGGGGTGCCGTACATGAGTACAGTACTGACTGTCATCGTACGTATGGAAGCAAAAACTCGCATGGACTATACCTTCATAATCCTCACGGCACAAGGCATGCGAACCACATGCTAGTTGAATTTCCGGCGGGTCATCACAAAACGGGATGGAGCATCTTTCTTGGGCTTCCTCAGTATGTATTCCTTCTCTATGGGCAGACGATGACAGGGAGGATCGGTCCAACGCAAGGGCGTTCAGCTGCTGCAGGATATGATCTGCAACAGCTCGCCCTGGTGGTGATAAACTATGAGCACATCGCTCTGCCGGTGGTTCATATAGAAGTCTATTTTCCTCCTCGGACTGCTGTGTTCGTCGTTCGTCTGGCAAGAAAGAGGGAGATCCGTCAGCAGTTGCTGTAAGTGTATGACCAATACTGCATGTGGGACATGCTAGGAGAGGATGTGGAGGGTGATGGCACCGGGGATGTGTGTGTGTGTGTGTGTGTGTGTGTGTGTGTGTGTGTGTGTGTGTGTGTGTGTGTGTGT